GCCACCATTTTAAAATATATATTATTTTGGAGTTTAGGCTTTTCCTGGGAGTGACTATGTGTGCCGTGGATGGCCTGTGTTTTCATAACTCAGGTTTAGTGGCTTAGAAAAGCAGATTGCAAGCCATGCTCAGGCATGTGGAGACCAGCTGCTTGGCGATGGCTCTACCCAAAACTCACTTGGGAAGTCATGAGACTCTTAACAACGAAAGCTGAGAAAGATTCTAACCTTTTGAAAAGCTTGCTAGTGTTAGATGAAGAATGGACTCCAGGAGCCATCCGTTTATGAGGCTGGCACTTCAAAAGTGTGTGGTAAAATGGCATTCGGAGACAAGTCTACACTGATGCAAACCATTTTTGAAATCCATACATATGAAGAGTCTTCAAAACCATGCAAAATATGTATTATATGGTGCGAGGATTTCAAAACTGTACTCCCAAAAAAACTTAAGAAAAAAAATTTTTTAATTTTTATTTTCATTCTATTTTTTTGCAGGGTAGGAGAGAGTTATCTTACTTGAAAGTGTTACAGAGAGTCAGGGAGCTCTTCCTTTGCTGGGTCACTCCCCAGGTGGTCACAATGACCAGAGCTAGCTCATCTAAAGCCACGAGCCACGGCCTTGAGCTGCCCTCTGCTGCTTTCCCAGGCTGCAAGCAGGGAACTGAATTGGAAATGGAGCAGCTGGGACTGAAACTGTTGCCCACATGGGGAGGGCAAACTGGCACCACAGGGGAAGATTAGCTTGCTATGCCACCATGCCAGGCCCATATATTTTTATTTTAATTTTTAAGGCAAAGAGACATTTCCATCCACTGGTTCGTTCCCAATGTGCCCTTACTGGCCGGGGGCTGGGAGGGAGGTCATTTTATATTTCCTTTGAGCCTACTAGGGCAGTGGATGAAAGTGTGTTTCTGGAGCTATAGTGACTTTTGAATGGCTCTCGTGACTTCAGCTGCAAGCTGTTTAATTTTTTTTTTTTTTTGGCTTTGTGAAGAGAAGTTCTTCACCAGCATGTTTGCGGCAGAGGGTGCTTGTCAAATTTCAGCTCCCTCCAGAGTGAGAAGGAAGAGCTCCTTCCCACTGTGGGAATAAGTGGTTCCTGAATGCACTCGGTGTTTGTTTGTTTTTCCAATAATAATCTGTCTGCTGGTTCACTCTCCAAATGACTGCAGTGGCCCAGAGCAGGGCCAAGAGGAAACCAGGAGCCAGGAGCTGTGGCCTGTGGCCTGTATGGGTGGCAGTGGCCACGTCCTAGGGCCGTCTCCCTTCCCAAGTGAGTCAGCTGGGAGCCGGAACAGAAGGTTGATGCTGGAGCTCAAGCCAGCACTAGTATGGTATGCAGGTTGTGGCTTCACCTGCTGTGCCACAGCCACGGCCCCTAAATGCCCTGGCAGGGGGAGGGGAGGGTACCTGTGTGGGATGGCGGCCTCCATGTCTTCGCTTACTAGGAGTTAGGTGCAACTTTAGTTAATACTCTGGGCAGCTGCACTGGGGGGACAGGTTTTCTAGAAGTCTCCAGTTCTGTCTAGAGTGCTCAGACTGGGCTCTGTGTCATCCGAACTAGGGCAGACCCAGCCATCCCTCGGTTGTTCACACGCTCTTTCCCTTCCAGTCTGTTTCTGAAGGATGCTTTGTATTTCAGAGGCAGGCTGGACAGCGTTGTCCAGGAGCTGTGGGTTTGTGGACCTGGGGTTTAGAGATGTACATGGAAGTTCAGCGTGTTCACTTAATCAGGCTATGCATGGGTGGCAAATTTGACTGCATACTGTCTTAATATTTAAGAAGGAGAGAGAGAGAGATGAATTTTTCATTCACTACTTCATCCCCCCAAATGCCTCAGTGGGCTCTGCAGAAACCAGTAGCCTAAAGTCCATCTGGATCTCCCCTGTGGGTGGCAGAGGCTCCAGCGTTTGGGCTGTCATCCACTTCTTTCCTAGGCACACGAGCAGGGAGCTGGATCTGAAACAGAGCAACAAGGACTGGAATTGGTGCCCTGATTGGGAGTGCTGGCATGGCAGGTGGCAGCTTAAGATGCAGTGCCACAGCACTGGCCCCTGCATGTAGCTATTTAAATTTCCTTTATTTGAGAGACACAAGTGGAAAGGGGTATCTCCCATCTGCTCGCTCATTCTTCAAAAACCCACACTCGCCAGGGGCTGTGAACTCAGCCTCGGTCCCCTGTCATATGTAGGTGGCAGGACCTTGAGTATTAAAGCCACTCCCTGCTGCCTCCCTCGTTGCCCTTTAGCAAGAACTGAGTCAGAAACAGTCAGAACTTACACCCAGACATGCTGGTGTGGGCTGCAGCATTTGGCCACTGCACCCACCACCCTCCCTGGATGCTGCTCTCTTCAGGGCACCTTTGGGCATTGTTAAGGGCCCTTGTTTCTTTTCCTCAGATGAAGCCTTAAACACATGTGCCTTCCTTTTATGAAATATGCAGAATATCTCTTGAGGTTTCTGTTACAGTAAAAAGCCTAAGCAATAAATACCTCATCCTATTGTTCCTGAAATTGATCGTTCTGAATCCTTGAATAGAAGCCTAAGTTACTGTGGTAGGTAATCAGATTCATTTTTCTACCTTCAGTACCTCTCTGAAAGAACTGTAGCTTCATAAGGCACAACAGGAATCTCCCCTTCACTATCTCCAAGCCTTTCCTGAAATTTGAAATTGGGTGCAGAATTCTTAAAATTCATTTATTTCTTTGAGAGGCAAAGTGACAGAGACAAGCGATCTTCTGTGTGCTGATTCACTCCTCCAAACAGCTGCAATAATCAGAACTGAGCCAGGCTGAAGCCAGGAGCCTGGAACTCCAGCCTGGTCTCTCACTTGGGTGGCAGGGGCCAAGCACTCAGGCCATCTTGCCTTCCCAGGTGCGTCAGCAAGCGAGCTGGACCAGAAGTAAAGCAGCTGGGACTTGGACCAGCGCTCACATGAGATGCCGTCGGTGTTGCAAGTAGCAGCTTAATGTGCAGTGCCACAACACCGTTGTGGGTTTTAATGATAACTGCTGCTGCTTCTGATTTTGATTCTCATTCCAAACACCGCTGCTCCTTTACTCACAACCCCTCAGTGCCTTGCGCTGTGGGACACAGCAGCTGGGGCATCACTTAACACAGTGTTCTGTATTCTTGTCCCTTTTTTGGGGGGAGGAGGGGAGGGCGGGTCACAACTGTTTTCCAAGAACCATGTTGGCCTGGGATATTTTGGTGGGTCAGGAGATTGACAATTTTCAAGCCTTTCTTGCCGCATTCTGGTGTGTACCTTTTAAGTCTAACAACTGCACTCCTGCAATATTAAGTAACTCAAAGACTCTTTCATGCTCAGGAAACAGGCTGTGATTTGATGTATCCACCTAGTTCCTTTGTCCTTATAACATTGTTGCCTTCCGCTGTCAGCAGTTGTTTTCCTGCATGTGGGTGTGTGTAGGCATACTGGACACAAAGAAAATATATTGCCGGTTTGTTTCCTTGCCGATTCCTTCAGTAAGCATGTTAATGAATGTGGTACTTCAGTGCTGCTAATTTATATGTGTCTTACATGATGTTTTTTATGTTTTGATAACTTTAACTCTGTAATTGTTTGAAGTGCAGCTCTAACGTGCATTAAAACTACTGATGAAGATTTTTAAAATGTGGTCATGTGTATTTGGATTCCTGGAGGCTTCTTGTCAGCAGGTGATCATGAAGCGTATAACTGCCCTTGGTGTTTTCCTGGAATTGGGTTTCATGCAATCACCACACTGGGCTTCAAACCCCCCCCCCCCCGGCTTTCCAAAAGTCTGATTTGTTCGTACATTTTAGAAATACCCATTGCTTGAAGTCTATTAAACTTGTGTGATAGGGTGCAGCCATGGATGGCTCACACCCACTTGTCAGGTTAACTGACAACAGACAAGGTGTGGGAAAGGAGTTTTCCGCCCTTCCTAAGTTAATTGCAGGCGAGAAAAGCACACCCCACCCCTCCTGCCTGCCGCACCATCGGTACACCGGGCCCCTCCTGCCTCCTGTTGCACTAAATGAGGTGGACCACAGGAAGACTTTGGGCTCTGCTAACTCCCTTCCTGCCTCCTGTACACAGAAGCTTTGTACTGCACGGCTCATCAAACCGGAGGATGAGAGCTTAAAAAACCCTGACTTTGGCAGCTAAGGACAATGGCCCCTGGCTCTGCTGTCACCAAGCTTGGGAAATAAAGACTCCTCCTAACATGCTACACCTGGGTCCAGTGTGATCTCTCTCGCACTCCGCAACACTTGGAACTGTAGAAGCCAACTATTGGTATCAGGGATGTGTTCTCACTGTTAGGTATTGTAAGTGAGCCAGAAAACTGAACCAGTTTGTGGGCTGTGATCACTACATAAGGATCCTGTTTTTTGTAAAATCACGAAGAAATAAAAAATAAATATAGTGGAGGACCTGCAAAGAAAGCCTTACAATTAGGGTGCTTACTTTCTTAAAAATAACAGGATTATCCAATAAAATGCAAGAATGCCCTGCGTGTTTCAGTTAAATTGTTATCCTAGAATGTTAAGATAGCTAATTTTGACTCATAGTCTGCATTAGATTAAATTTGGGAAATGACAAAGCAACATTCAATATATGTGTATAATATTTTGCTAATTTGCACCAATATACATGCACATCAGAAAAATAACGTGTTCTCTGTAAAAACTATGAAATCACTTGAGATTTCTACTATTTTAAGGAACATCTAGAACATAGAGAAGAATCTGCTTCCATAAGTAATTTTCTGATAGGTCCGTCCGCTTTCCTAGGAACCTAAGGAAGAAATCTCCATACCTTGCGCATCGTGGACGTAGCAACTTAGCATCCCCATTGCCATGGCAACTGCAGGCTCTGCCACGTGACTGACGGGCCTTGCACCCAATATATTCTTGGCACCGGCCATTTCTAGCCAATAGAATGCAAGCAAAGACCGAATGGTGTCTTGGGCGGTGACTTGCGCCTTACTTCTGCCCCGCGTCATCAGCTTGCGCCACGAGCGCCATTGGCCCACTGCGCCCGGCGGACTGACTGCTCCGCCGTCCCCGCGATGACTTGCGCCAGGGCGGCGGCGGCTGGCGGCCTGTGGCGGCTGCGCCCGGGCGCCCGACGACCCCTCCCAGGTACAGACGCGGGTGTGTGTGGTCCTGCTCCGCGCTGGCCCGGCGTGCCAGGAAATGTTCGCCCGGTCCTTGAGGTCGGAGAGGTCGCGGGGAGACGTCACAGCTCTGCGACCGGCTGCGTGACGTCAGATCTGGGACGGGGTCACTTGAGTGGCGGGTTCCTCTCCGGGGGATGACGTCTTCGTGTCGCTAGACGTTTTGACGTCACGGGAGGAGGGGTTGGCGTTCTGGGCTGAGGGACCGTGGACGATGGTGAAAGTGGGGAGTCCCCGGGCGGGTGACACGGAAGCCCGGCAGCCTGGGCTCGGGGTTGGTTAGAAGTGCGGGTGCAGGCGGCCAGTCCCTGACGTGCAGCAATCGGGAGCCTTTTGGGGTGGTTTGACGTGCCCGGGAGGGAGCCCGGAAACAAAACCCGCCGACCCCCAGGTCGGGTGCTGGCGACACTCCTCGGCTGCCCCACAGGGGCGTCAGACCCTGCAAGCCTCCTTCGCCAACTTTCACCCACACAGCCTGTTGTACATTCCTATTCCAGTGCGTATTTTCCGGTTAAATCCGTGGAAACGATATCCAGATCCAGGGTATGCTCGAATACCTGCCGTGGGTGGGCATAATTAAATGCCGCACCGCAACGCCCCGTCCCCTCCTCATCTACTTACCAATGCACTCGGGCCTTTTTTTTTTTTAAGATTTAATTTTATTGGAAAAGTCGGATATTCAGAGAGGAGGAAAGACAGAGAGGAAGAGCCTCTCTCTGCAGATGCCCCAAGCGGCCACAAAGTCTGGAGTTGAGCCAATCCGGAGCCAGGAGCCTCTTCTGGGTCTCCCACGTGGGTGCAGGGTGCCAAGGGTTTGAGCCATCCTCTACTGCTTTCCCAGGCCATAAGCAGGAAGCTGGATGGGAAGCGGGGCTGCTGGGATATGAACCGGCGCCAATGTGGAATCCCTGCACATGCAAGATGAGGATTTTACTGTTAGGCTACAGCGCAGAGCCCATGCTCAGGCCTTCATAATGAAAGAGCCAAAAGTGTGTACCCCACATGAGTTTTCCCTCCGCATATTTTTCTATGAAATGTAAGTGAAAAGAAGTATGTGGAAGCGACATGGCTGTGAGCCGTGAAATACGTTACCAAATGATTGCTGTGCAGGTTGAGGCTGACTTTGGGACCTAAGTACCTTTTCGAAGTCTCCATTTCTCCATCTGCAAAGTGGACCCTGCACCTGTATCGGAGAATGGAGGAAGTGCCTGGCTCCTGCCTTTGGATTGGCTCAGCTCTAGCCATTGTGGCCACTTGGGGAGAGAACCAACGGATGGAAGATTTTTCTCTCTGTTTTTCCTCTCTGTAGATCTGCCTTTCTAATAAAAAATAAATATGCATCTTTTTAAAAATTATGGGGAGGGACCTTGCATTTTTAGAGCCGCCCAGGAACTTCTGCGGTGCAGCGTGGCGTCAGCTTCCAGGAGGGCTTAGTGCTGGACACAAGCTCCTGCCACGTTAGCACATGTGATGTGCGTAGATTTAAAGTGTGTTCAGCCTGCAGGGTGAATGAGTGCACTCGGGAATTCCTCTGTGCCAGCTCATGGACGGTCTCTGTGCTCGGGCATCCCTTTCTTCCACCTGGGAAGGAAAACCCCCTGGTCCTTCCAGAGAATGACAGACATGTGGTGTTGCAGCTTGCGGGAGAAGAATCGGCGTGAGATTCAGCAGTTCAGGAATGACCCTGGACAGTATCAATCGGGCGGCCGTGGATCGGATCATCCGTGTGGATCACGCTGGGGAGTATGGTGCGAACCGCATCTATGCGGGGCAGATGGCCGTGCTGGGCCGGACGAGCGTCGGGCCCATCATTCAGGTGGGTGCTGGTGTGCTGGCTCTCACAAGCAGGTGTCCCTGGGAGTCCTCGAGAGGACCGAATCGCAGAAGGTCACAGGCTGTCTCCCAGGGGATGGAATTGGATTGGAGGAGAGAGGGGAGAAGCAGAAGAGCAGAGAGTTGTGTTTCTGTAACAAAGCTGGAGAAGCAGGTGCACCGTTAGCTGAGGATATTAACATATCCTGACGGGGCAGGCAATGATGAAGCAAAGGGTGAGCATCGTGTCACTGGGTCTTTGCACTGAGAGCTCGCGGTGCCCTGTCCTGGGCAGTGCCAGGTGGCAGGTGTGGCCACTTTGTGGTCTTGAGGGCCTGGATTCACATCCTGTCCTCTCCCCCAGCCTTGATCTGCCAGATAGACTGGAAACACCTCCCGCCTTGAGTTTGAGTACGGAATACTTGAGCTGGTACCAGACAAGTTAACGCACATCATATTGTCTCCTCTGAGTCCCTGAGCGAGTGCCATTATCTTTCTGGCCCTCCCTTGGTTCATCTGTGTAATGGGCATAGCCATCATTTGCTGTCAGCAGGTAGCTGTGTGGCCTGAACAACCTGCCTAGCAGCTGGTTGGCTCCTGGCACTTAGGAGGTGGCCACTAATGTTGGCTGTTGCTGCCCTCCTTTGCCTTCAGTTATAAATGATAACATTCTCAAAAGAAATGAAACAGCAGGGCCTGGTGCGGTAGCCTGGTGACTAGAGTCCTCACCTTGCATGCAGTGGGATCCCATGTGGGCACCAGTTTGTATCTCTGCTGCTCTACTTTATTTCCAGCTCTCTGCTTGTGGCCTGGGAAAGCAGTGGAGAATGGCCCAAAGCCTTGGGACCCTGCACCTGCATGGGAAACCTGTAGGAGGCTCCTGGATCCTGGCTTCAGATCGGCACAGTTTTGGCCATTGCAGCCATTTGGGGAGTAAACCAGTGGATGGAAGATCTTTCTCTGTCTCTCCTTCTCTCTGCAAATCTGACTTTCCATTAAAAAATAAAATAATACGGGCCCGGCGCGGTGGCGCAAGTGGTTAGGTCCTCGCCTTGCACGCCCGGGATCCCATATGGGCGCCGGTTCTAATCCCGGCAGCCCCACTTCCCTTCCAGCTCCCTGCCTGTGGCCTGGGAAAGCAGCTGAGGACGGCCCAAAGCTTTGGGACCCTGCACCCACGTGGGAGACCCGGAAGAGGCTCCTGGCTTCGGATCGGCATAGTATCGGCCCGTTGCGGCTCACTTGGGGAGTGAATCATCGGACGGAAGATCTTCCTCTCTGTATCTCCTCTCTGTATATCCGCCTTTCCAATAAAAAATAATAAAAATAAATCTTTAAAAAAAAATAATAATAATAACAAATGTTTTAAAAATAAAGGAAATTACACAGCGGCTAGCATTCTGCCTCTCAGTTCCAAAGCAGGTTCAGGTTCTCATTCTCATGTGTGTGCTTCTCTTGGTCATTGAATGGGCACCTTGTGGGCCCCAGGGACTGGCCCTGCCTGGCATTCCTGTCCCGTGTTGAGATCCTAGACTCTCTTTGCAGTTTGTTGGCACTCTCTTCTGTGTCAGAGGTTCCTTTGAGTCTGATGTTTCACTTCTTTTTTTAGGGAGAGATCACTCATCCACTGGTTCGTTCCCTTGAGGCCCACGCCAGCCAGGGCTGGGCCGGGCAGAAGCCAGGAGTGCCACCGCCTAGGTCAGGTCTCCCCTGGGGGTAGCAGGGACCCTCATCCTGAAGCCATCTCCTGCTGCCTGCATCAGTGTGCGTTAAGAGGAAGCTGGACTCAGCAGCAGAAGTGGGGCTTGAACCCAGGCCCTCCACAATGGGATGTGGGCGTCCCAAGCCCCAGACACCCACCTGCCTTCATTGGTGCTTTGATAGGGCTGGGAAGGACATCAGTTCTTAGGCCTACATCAAGGCACAGCGTTTCAGGCTGCTGCTTGTGAAACTGGCGTACCGCATTGCATCACTGGTTCACCGGTTCAAGTCCCAGCTGCTCTGTTTCTGATCTAGCACCTGGCTAATGAGCCTGGGAAGACAACGGAGGGTGGCTCAAGTGCTTGGTCCCCTGTCACCCGGTGAGAGGCCAAGCTGGCTCCTGACCTCAGCTGGCCCAGGCCTGGCTGTTGTGAGCATTTAGGAATGAGCCGGAAGATGGAAGAACTCTGTTTCTGTTTCTCTGCCTCTCTCTTCCTCTCTATCATTCTGCCTTTCAAATACATAAATCTATTCTCTTAAAATATATAGCAGTTGTCATTTTTCCCATTTCCCTCTGGCTTCCTGTGTGCCTTGACATCAGCTTGCTGCATAGCAGGTTGCCTCTGTGAGTTGTCATGTGTTTATCTCTGTGTCCCTGCAGAAAATGTGGGATCAGGAAAAGGAGCATTTGAAGAAGTTCAACGAGCTGATGGTGGCGCTCAGGGTGCGGCCGACCGTCCTGCTGCCCTTCTGGAATGTGGTGGGCTTTGCGCTGGGTACGTAGGCACCTGTTGAGCAGAGCCCGGGCAAGCCCAAGTCTGGGAGATGAATCCACCAGGTACCATGAGGGCAGCTGCTGCTGGGTCTGACAGTGTGACTGCGGGTTCTGTCCTGAGAGGACCCCAGAGGACATGTGGCAATAGCTAGAGACGTGTTTGTTGGTGATGGGTTAGGAGATGCCGCTGGTGTCGAGGGGGCAGAGGTCAGGGAGGCTGTAAGACATCCCACAGTGCCATGTGCCTGCACTGATGAATCCAGCCTCACATGTCAGTGGGGCTGAGGGCTAGCTGTGGACCTGACCGCCCTGGGCGTGGCTGTTTCAGGGGCAGGCACAGCCTTGCTGGGGAAGGAAGGCGCTATGGCCTGCACCGTTGCCGTGGAGGAGTCCATAGCTCATCACTACAACAACCAGATCAGGACACTGATGGAGGAGGATCCTGAGAAATACGAGGAGCTCCTGCAGGTAGCGGACTGTCCTCGGGAAGGGGAGTAGAGGACCTGCAGGAGAAGAAGGGTAGGGGAGGTGGGATGTCGGGTTTAGCACCTCATCCTAAAGGCGAGTGAACGGCGGCACAGAGAGGGAAAGCTGTGAGCCCTAGCCACACAGCTGGGGCAGGGTTGGGACTAGGGCTACTGCCTGCTGCACTTGGACCTGCCTGTGTCCGTCACTGCACCCCACATCCCAGGCAGAGTGTACAGAAATGCTCTGAGCGCGAGCCTTTCAGGTTAAAGAATGGGTAGTCCCTGATTTTTTTTTTTTTTCACATCAAATAAAGGAACAGTTTTTTTTTTTTTTTTAGTCTGAGAAAAGAGAACAGAGTGAGTTACCTTGCACTGGTTCCCCGCCGGGACACTCGCAGTCACTGTAACGGGGCGGGGGCCAGGCATTCCATGCAGGTCTCCGTGGGCTAGCAGGAGTCTAGTCTTGTCACCTGAACCATCACTGCTAGCTCCTGGGGTGCTGGAGTGACTGGCAGGAGCCAAGCATTGAACCCAAGTGTTCCAGCATGGGATACGAGCATCCTAACTGGCATTTTAATTACCAGACTACATGCCCAACTGTTTCTTTTTTTTTTTGTTGTTTTTTTTGTTTTAAGGACAGGATGGTAGACTGGCCTGCAGCAGACAACCTCATAAATAAAGTTTTATTGTAACAGTCATGCCCACCTGTTGGCATGTCTCTGGCTGCCACCACAGGGGCAGGATTGAGTGGTGGCAGTGGTTACTTCTCACCGGCGAGGCTTTGAGTGTTTACTCTCCAGCCGAAGCCTTGCCTGGTGAGCCTGCCCAGCAGGTGAGTTGCCACATCCCCACTCTGCCTGCCTCTGTCTGACCAGGTGATAAGGAAATTTCGGGATGAAGAGCTGGAGCACCATGACATCGGCCTGGACCACGATGCGGAACTGGTAGGGACCTGCTTGCTGCTGCCCATGCCTGGGGTGCCGTGATTGTTTTTTATTGATTACATTGCATTATGTGACACAGTTTTATAGGAGCTGGGATTCCCCCACCACCCCTCCCCAAACCTTACCTCCCCCTCATGGTGGATTCCTCCACCTTGTTGTATTACCACAGTTCAAATTCAGTTGAGATTCTTTCATTGCAAGGATCTACCAAGTATAAAGTCTTATTGTCCACATAAGTTCATCGGTTTCTTGGGGAGACCATCTCTGGTCGAAGGTAGAGCCGGGAATGCCGTGATTCGAGGGCTAAGGGTGGCAGTTGTCTGTCCTGCAAAAACAAATCTTCAACCTGGCAGTCAAAGGGAGCAAAGTGGCCAGGCGGCTTTAAGGAAAAGCCAGCAGATACGTTATTCTGGGGGTGGGGGTGGTCTTCTTGCTGATTGAACCCCCAGATCGTCCTGCCCTTGTCTCAGCAGGAGGAAAAGCCTCCCACCCCTAACTTCCCCCCCCCCCGCCCCATATTAGGATAAATTGGCTCCCAAGTGTCACTTCTCATCCAGTCCCTGCCTGGCTAGCCCCTCCTTTGTCCCAAGTGAAAGGTGACACACTTCTCCCCGGCTCATTCACCTCTTGCCACAGGCCCCAGCCTACGCTGTCCTGAAGCGCGTCATCCAAGCCGGCTGCAGTGTGGCTATATCCTTGTCAGAAAGATTCTGAGCCACATCCGCTCGGGCCTGTGGGGGCAGACGGTGACAGCCACACAGAGGGGGGACGTGTGCAGTTTGCACTGTATGTATTTCTCTTTGTCTCTCCTTCTCTGTGTAAATTTGACTTTCCAATAAAAAAATGAATTTTTTTTTTTAAAAAGTGATTTATTTGAAAGGCATTACAAAATGACAATGAGAGAGACGTTCCATCTGCTGGTTTACTTCCCAAATGGCCACAAGGGCCAGGGCTGGGCCAGGCTGAAGCCAGGAGCCTGCAATTCCATCCAGGTCTCTCACATGTGTGGCAGAGGCCCAAGTGCTTGGACCATCTTCCACTGCCTTCCCAGGTGCATTAGCGGAGAGCTGGACCAGAAGTAGAGCAGCCAGGATGCAAACTGGTGCCCATGTGGGTTATCAGTGTCTCAGACCAAGGCTTAATCTAGACTTTTTAATTTTTTTTTTAATCTAACCATCCTTCAGGCCAGCAGAGAGCGTGGAAGTCCTGCTCTTGTGAGCTGCCTGTGCTGTCTTGCCTGCTGCCTCCCAGCTCGGTGTGCAGGCTTTGCAGCCGGGAGCTCTAGGCCCAGGAAGGCACTCCCAGGGCCCTTGTTCAAAGCCTGGATTTGCTGCTGTTTGTCTAGCCTCTCTCTCAGAGCAGAAGGCTGTTTTTGTGCTTTCCAAGCAAAGCCAGGGAGATTTCCTGAAATCCCTTTTGATTGCTTTAATTCCAAGACAGCTTGTCCTCGTGTGTGAACAAGGGGATCTTGTCTCTGACTCCTTTCTATCATTCTGGGAAACATGGTTCTAGAATTGGACAGCATCCGAACCCAGCCTGGGTTGTTACTTCAGCAAGCTGCATCGTTCCCAAGATGCAATCGGAGCCGTAGTTTCCTGGCCCGTGTGTGACTCCCTGGCCACGCAGAGGCTGGCCTGTGTGGGCCGGCCGTGTGCTGTCCTCTGGGGCCATGGTAGGAGTGCAGAACTTGGGGCTGCTCTGAGACCTACGCAGCATTTTAGCCAGATGGTCTTGGGCACTTCAGGCCACACAGTCCTTGAGGTGCCTCTGTTTGCTGCAGCTTCATTTTCCGCGTCTCAAGCCTGGGCTGTGCTTGGCAACTTGTTTCTGTCTGTAGAATATGTACTCCAGACTGGGGGCCTCATGATGAAGGGCAGTGTCTCGGGCTCCTGATTCGGCCAAGTCTAACCTGTGTGGCGGTCACCTCTGGCAAGGGCTCCCTGGCTCTACTGCAACAGCAGATGGCATTATGTGCCAGGCTTGCGCGGCAGGAAGGTGTGTGAGAGAGCTCTTTGTTGTTACTGAATTTATTTTGGCTCATGGTTCTAATCCAAGGTTGAGGGACCACATCTGGTGATAGCTTTGTTTTGTTTTTAAAGATATACTTATTTTTACTTGGAAGACAGAGTCAAACAGAGAAGGAAAGACACAGAGAGGTCTCATGTGCTGGTTCGTTCTCCAGATGGCCAGAGCTGAGCCGATTTGAAGCCAGGAGCCTCGTCTGGGGCTTTTCCCACGTGGGTGCAGGGCCCAAGGACTTGAGCAGCCAACCTCTGCTGCTTTCCCAGGCTATCAGCAGGGATCTCGATGGGAAGTGGAGCAGCCAGGACATGAATGGGCACCCATAAGGTTACTGGTGGAGCAGGAAGAGGCTTAGCTCATTATGCCATGGAGCTGGCCCCCAGTGTCTCTCTGTTATTATTAATTTATTTGAGAGGCAGAGAGCGAGCACTCCCATCTGCTAATTCACTTTCCAGATGCCCACAATGGCCCGGGGTAGTCCAGAGCCAAAGCTGGCAGAAGGTAGTTCCCTCCAGCTCGTGCAGAAGTGTGGCAGGAACCCAATTAACTTGATCTGCCATCACCTGTTGCCTCCCAGGCTCGGCCTTGGCAGGAAGCTGGAGTCAGGAGCCTGAGCTGGGCATTGGAGCCAGGCACTCTGATGTGGAACATGCACCTGCTACTCTATTTCTCTCATTGGTTATCCCAACACTCCCAGGGGCAGATCCTGGCCTCCCCTACCTGCCATGAGGAGCTGAAAGCCCAGGGTCCAGTAGGTGGATATGGCCAATCCAGGCAGCCTGGCTGTAGGTGACTAGGACTCTTCCCGTAAGGTGCACAGTTGGTCCCTTATGCATGGGACAGAAATGCCCGTGGACCACTGGGGAGGAGCTGCTGGTGGGAGACATTTAACCTCGGAGCTCAAACACCTCACCAGGGTGTCCCTTTAAGAACTTTGGACCCAGATGATTTGAGAATGGGAAAAACAGGATCTTTCCCAATCCACTTAAGACCCTAGAGGGCTCTTCCGGAATGTCTGGGGCACAGAGTGCGCCCCTACTGAAAAAGTGCCTCCAGGCCTCAATGGCTGTGTCCTTCCTTTTCCTGCCTCTGGGAACCGCACCCCAGCCCGGACAGGACCCCAGAGGGCGCCCGCGCGCAGAGAGCTGAGCTGGCCTCCAGCTGGGCCGCTGCTGGTTTCTTGCAGAGGGACCCCGCCTAGGCAAGAGGGAACCTACCAGCTAGCTGGGCTCTGGTCCTGCAGCACCCCATCATCTCCGCTGAACGCGAGCGGAGCGGCGCCGGCCCCTTGCCAAGTGCGCAGTAGTGGTCTGCGCTTGGGCATCCTGGCCTGGGGTTGGGGGGAAACATCTGGGTTTTCAGAAGTGATAAGAATTGGACAAACCTCCGGAGGCCTACTGTCTGCCAGGAGGCGCTCCGCGGAGTCCAGAGCAGCCAACCACATCCGCTGGGCTGGGCTCCTGGGCCTGTGCACCTTCCCCCACACACGCACCTTCCCGGTGTGCCTGAGCCTCTTGAGGCCGTTTTGCAAATCGCTTTCTCTCTCAGCTGAAACCATCTTGCATCCTCCTTTCCTCACGCCCCAACCTTGGCTGCTTGCCTCGCCATTGCCTTCTCTTTGCACGGTCACTGCCTGGCCTCCTGACAGCCAGGCAGTGTGATCCTCAAGGTCAAGTCCAGCCCCAGGTCTCCAATGAGCAAGCCCTGTATTTCAGCTAACCAAGTCCAGTAGACTCAGAATGCATCAGGATTACTAAGACGTGACTGACCCTCTCGGTCTCAAGGTTAACACGCCCAGAAATGTTTGGGTGAGAGTGTAATGTGAGGAGGGGGGGTCAGCCTTGGCAGTGGCCTTCGCTCTTCGGTCCCTCTGCACCTGAGCCCAAACCCAGCCATGACTCAGCTTGGCAAATGTCTAGTCCACAGCCAGGGTCAACTGTTCTCCTTCAATACTTTTTTTTTTTTTTTTTTTTTTTTTTAGTGTGCTTCATTTTCTGAGAATTCTTCTACTTCTTTCCATCAAATGTTCTTGCAATAAGTTTTTAATTTCAATTCTATTTCTAGGACTAGGCAGAACTCCCCAGTGCTAAATGCTGTATTCTTTTTTGAAGGATTGTTTTATTTTTATTTGAAAGGCACAGTTATATATAGAGAGAGGAGGAGAGACAGAGAAAGAAATCCGCCATTTACTAGTTCACTCTCCAGATGGCTCCAATGGCAGGAGCCTGGAGTTTCTTGCGGGTCTGCCACAGGGGTGCAAGGGCCCAGGCACTTGGTCCATCCTCCATTGCATTTCCAGGCGCTTTAGCAAGGAGCTGGGTTGGAAGTGGAGCAAACGGGACGCATACTGGTGCTCAAATGAGTTGAAGGTATGGCAAACATAGCTTTAGTGTGTTATGCCACAGTGCCAGTCTCAAATCCTACAGTTGTTGATCGGATATGTAGATCAGAATAAACTCTTGATATACACACACATGGTCCACTCCACAGATATTTTTATCCTAATTCTGCCTGGTGTTGTGTGGTTCTCATGCCTCCAAGCCTGCTTCCTGGGCTGATTCACGTTCCCTTTTCTATCCCATTTTCTGCACTGAACTCTTCTCTGGTGTGACCAGTTCATTCAGTGCTGTGACAACTAGTAACACATGGCCCACAGACAGTGGAAACTGTGGCAAAGAAGCACATTCCCCATTCTTCTGGGAAGAGGAGGGGAAAAACAGCCTTTGTGCACTATTGTCCATGCCTCGTTTCCAGGCGGCTTTCTAGTCTTTACAAAACCACGTGGAGTTTGCCGCCTGTCGCACTTCCTGGAGGTGGCTCTGTGTGTGTTTCAGTAAGATCACATGGGCATTGAAAAGAAAATGTTCCCTGTCATTCACCTGACTGCTGTGAAGGCACACAGCGGAGAATTTGGCACATGACAGTCACACTCCTATCATTTTCTTTCTTTTTTAAAAAAAGATTTGTTTATTTTTATTGGAAAGTCAAATTTACAGAGAGAAGGAGAGACAGAGAAAAAGATCTTCCATCCACTGGTTCACTCCCCAAGTGGCTGCAAAAGCCAGAGCTGGAGTCAATCTGAAGCCAGGAGCCCAGAGCCTCTTTTGGGTCTCCCATGCAGGTGCAGGGTTCCAAGGCTTTGGGCCATCCTCCACTGCTTTCCCAGGCCACAAGCAGAGAGCTGGTTGGGAAAGTGGAGCAGCCAGGATACGAACCAGCACCCATATGGGATCCTGGTATGTGCAAGGCGAGGATTTAGCCACTGAGCTACTGTGCCATGCCGAAGATCTCTTTCTTGAGGTAGGGTTTGATCCAGGATGTTCAACCAAACACTTGGCTTCTCTGCTCTCTGCTTGTCATAGTGTTGATATTAGGTTCAGCCATGATCAGCTGTGGTCTTCCTCCTGCCTGGCAGCCCGAACACCATAGGGCCTCCCTGCATGACATCGTAAAACTCCTCCATCCACTGGAAGACAAGGCTCATCCAGCTCCTGAGCATCCGCAGCACACGCCATCCCTCACCTTCCTGTAGGCTCATTTAATCCAACCCAGCTCTGCTTCTGACCCCACCCCTCCTTTCCCCACTCCCTGTGCAGGAAGGTCTGGGGAACAATATGATGGTGCTCTTCCTGTAGCAGGTGGAGCAGCTCCTGCTCGCCCAAGCTGGGAAAGACAGGCTCTCACAAAGGGAAGGGAAGGGAAGCCGTCAGGAGCGGGTGGAGGCCTGGACAAGGTGTAAGGGCTCCTGGTCCACCCCTTCTGGTGTCAAGTCCTTCTCTGCCACTTACTAGGGTTTGCCTGAGCTCCCTGTGCCTACCAAGAGCATGCTGGCT